ATTGCCTCTCCGTTCTGGTGTCTCTATTCATCCCTTGGTCTAATACTGCATAGCCTCCAAATCCGGGTGGACCCCCGGAAGGAAGACCACTATACTGGATATTCTGTATTGTGCCAGTATTTCTCCGGTGGCCTAGTCCGCCCTCCACACTATGGGGAATTGGACCCCTAGAGGAAACATACGCACCAGCATCTCTGATGGGTCTTTGACCAAATGTACTGTATTGTCTATAGTGTGTGTGACCCCTGGAAAGATGACCAAAACTAGAGTGGTTCTTGTTGAGGTTATCTGTATTTATTCCTTGATCTGATGCACGTGCACAGTTCACTAGTCGTGTATGAGCGCTAAAAGGCACACCCACGTTGGAATGAGAAGTATTCTGCATCGTTGCTGCATATTGATAATTTGGAAGCCCACCTGGTTTGGATGATTTAGGTGAAGGTTCCCTACCAACAGCTATGACTTTATCCTCGGTTAGACTATCAGATGCTTTGCTGTTGTCTGTCTTTTTCGAACTGTCATCCATGCCTGCTTACTCCGTGCAATTTTGTTCTAAAGGAAGAAAATATATGTAAACAAACAAAAACGAAGGAAGGAAGGAAGAAAGAAAGGAAGGAAGGAAGGAAGGAAGGAAGGAAGGAAGGAAGGAAGGAAGGCAGGAATGAACTGTAGATTTGATGAGCTTTATATTTGATGCTGCAGTATTATCAGTCGTTTGAAATATCGCTAATCAATTTCACTTTGAAGTCCCCAAGTTCCTACAAAGTTGTAACTTGCGAACAAATCACGGAAACAGAGTGGCCGAAGTTTCGTAAGTCAACTGTAATTAAATAAAAATCTACCCTTCAACTTCATTCTGTATGCTCTTCCTTCTCCACACATTCTTTTAAAAAAAAAAAAGAAAGAAAGAAAAAAGAATAAAAAAGAGCTTTGTAGTGGCAGGCAACCTAAGCCAACGTAGCGGATGTTTCACAGAAAACGTAACAATGTTTCGTTTAACAGTGTTGCGTTATGGACTGTCACACTACTCCTCAGCCTGTCAGACATTGTCACCATTTGTCTTCAAGATCGGTCTAAAAAAAATTGTTTAGTTTTAGACTGCGAGCAATCCCTGTATTTTTCCTTGGTCATTGTTTGGGGTTTGCTGTGGTTAATTTGGACGCGCAAGGATTAGATAGGAGCTAGTCTAATATCCCCAACGGAAAAATTAAAGTTGTGGGGAGTGAGGAACAAAAGGAAAATCCCTTTGTGTTGAGGTTTTTAACTTTGACGTAACGCTATTGAAAACTAATTATAAATTTTCCTTTTTTTAGAAAATAAAATTTACAGTAAAGTTGTTCATATAGATTTTAGTGAAATTGTAAACTGTTTCGTGAAGATAGTCGATAATGCAGAGACTGTATGAATTTTTGAACCTTACAACTTTTACAAAGACTGTATAAAAGTTTTCCTGCTAAGAAAGCTAACATACATTTCTTTGTAAAATTTCCTGTTTTTAAAAATTCATATAGTTTAAATTACGCGCAATCTTCACGAAACTTCGCAGTTTTACAAATATCTGTATCAACTTCTCAGTTTTACTAACATCAACTCCTTTTTCCAAAGTAAACAACCTTTCTCTACAGCGTGACGTCACATGCAAAACCTAGTTAGTGCAGTTTTCGTATGACTGTGAAAAGTTCACGGCACGAACACGGTCGTGACACAGTAAGGGATACGCCAGACAAATCACATTGCACGAGAATTTACTCTCCATCCAATCAAATACCCGAAACACGGCATAAACACGGCGCGGACACGGTCACGCCAAGATCACGGCACTTTTAGACCAATCATATTGCGCGTGAAAAAAATCAGCCAATTAAAATTCTAGAAAGTATCTCGGTCACGGCACGTCACGCTTACGGCATTGAGCTTTTCACAGTCATATGCGAAAACTGCACTATAAACGAACGACATATGGTCTGCAATGGGATTACATTATAGCTAAAAGTGTCATAACAATGAATTATTAATTTCATAATGAAAATTATAATTTTTTCTGTAATCTAAGATTAATATTGAAATGAAATTTTCAGTCTCAGCAGTATTATATAGTTATTTCCTGAAAAATTCCAGCACCAAAAGCATAAACCTTGAAAAAAAAAATGTGTAGCTTTTGTTTTTTCTGGAAATGAGTCTGCATAATTTTTCACAATTCAATTTTTTTGCGGTTGAAAAATTTAAAATATAAAGCAGAAGTTACATACATGCATATACTTATAATCACTCGGATGTTTGAGTAGCTCATATGGTGCTAGTATTTCCGAAAACAGTAAAAACAAATGATGATAAATGAATAAATTTAAAGTTTATAAATTTGCATAAGTATAGATTTTATTGACAACCAAGATCCGAGGAAATATTCATGTTTAATGTCTCTGCTTCTGGTAAGACTTTCATGCAGTAAGCTTATTCTTTACCGAGCATTAAACAGTTAGGCAAGGCCGTGGCTTAAATATAAACGTCGGGCGTTCTCGTGTGATTCAATATTATGTCGCAAAACAGTTTTGTTTCTTTACGAGACTTTCATTAAATTTCTTACCTTTCCGTGAAGGTGATCAACAGCTACAAAAGAAATTTCCATACAATTCCTTATTGCAAGCCTACGGGGTTATATTTGAACTATATTTATATTTAAGTCACGGCACTCACTAACTGTTTAATACTCGATAAAGAATAAGCTTACTGCATGGGATGTAAAAGTCTGTGTAATCAATGTCTTGACAATTACCCACTAGGTACAGTTTCATATTTATATTATATTTATATTAATAAGTATATTATGTATTTTTGGTTTCCTTGGTTTCCTTGGTTTCCTCGGTTTCCTCGATTTCGCAATGCCGAAATTAACTAGTTCATATTCTCTTGACTGTATGGCTGTTACACGTTTCAACCCCCCTATGCGTTTCTGTTTAAACCAAACTTAGTTTGAGGGTATTTTAGTTTCCTTTTCCTCTTAGGTTATAAGATCTAGAACCTGTAAGTTTTCCAAACATCGAGGATACGTATGTAGTAGCCCTACCAGACAATACCTTTGACCTCTGTGGTTAACATGTTCAACTCTTTTTCGTTCTCAGTCATTGAGTCACATCAGTTTCTAAATCTGAATCTAAAATTTAAAGCATTTACCATTCCTGGGTGGACGGCGTAATGCCTAACAGGTTTTGCGACCCAACTGATAAGGCAGCCGGTAGATCGAATATGAATTTGAAATGAACTAGAAATGTGGAATTTGAGCTGGATGTATCACGCAAGACTGCTCGAAGCACACTTTTATTAATTACTTGTTCTAGTTTGCCCTTGTTTTGTGCACCACAAAATGCTGAATCGCTCGCTGCAATTATACTGAAATATTGGTAATAAATATGTTTTACAAAATCTTGTTTTTACCTTTTGTCCTATAATCAGCTACCTCATGCGTTATTTGGCTTATTTCATCAGATTTTGAGGGTAAAAAATCAAAAACAACGTAGCGGCACTTGAAGGACGTTTCAGTTTACAAGCAAGTTCTGGATTTCTCGGAAATAACATACAGCTTCAGTCCTTTGCGCGTGTGCAAGAGGAAGTCGAAGTACTTCTGGGAAATTCGTAAAACGAGACTTCTAAACGTAAAGCCTGGTCCTCATTACCTACATAAGCATAACATTAGCATAAGCATAAGGATCAAGACGTTCCGTCCTTCTTATGTGCTTGTGCTTCATGCTTATTGTTATAAACCAACATATCGCGTTGTTGTCGAACTGTACTACATAGACTAAATGTCCCGATGCACAAACATCTAGGAAATGTAAATAAAATAATAATAATAATAATAATAATAGTAATAATAATAGATTCTTAAAAGCGCATATAACGAGTCTCTATGCTCTTTACAAGACCTATACAAATGTAAACTAATCTATCTATCTAGGTAAAATAAAACAATTAGAATAATGGTACCATGCGGGCCTACTCCCCACCATAAGAGCTCCAACCAGCACAACATGGTGTAGTTCAGAACACCTAAAGTCGAGAGCAGATCCACATGATAATCAAAAGAGAAATAAATAAATAAATGTATGTTG